CTTAAATCTGGACTGGCCCTATGCTTTGCTTTAACCAACATATAAGGCAGAAGCGATCTATACAACTTGCCATGCTGGACTTGAAAAGATCTGAAGCTTCTGCTTTTGTGCCCTTACAACAGTCCCTCTTGGAACCCAGATGCTCTGTTATGAGAAATGTTATGTGAACAGCTACTTAGAATCACAGCCCTCAGCTGAACTCTGAGGGCTGACAGCCAGCCATGTGAGTGAACCATCTTGGGCATTTCGGCTCAACTGAGTCACCAGATGATGGCAGCCCCAGGCAACAACACCTGAAGCAGAAGAACTGCCGTGTGAGTCAAGTCCAGGTTTATTAAAAAAATAAATAAATAAATCTCACCAAACACAAAAATCAATTAGTGAAATCCATGACATCAACAGGCGAAGAAAAATCACATGATCATCTTGATATAGATGTGCAAAATCCAGATGACAAAATCCAACACTCATTTATAATTAAAACTCTCAGCAAATTAGAAATAGAGAGGAACTTCCTCAACTGGATAAAGAACATCTACAAAAAGCTACAGCCAACATGATAATTAATGGTGAGAAACTAGAAGCTTTCTCACCAAGATCAGGAAAAAGGAAAGGAGGTCCCCTCTCACCACTCCTTTTCAGTATCATGCTGCAAGTCCCAGCTAATGCAATAAGATAAGAAAATGAAATAAATGGTATATGGAATGGAAAGGAAGAAACAAACTGTCTTTGTATGCGGATAACATGATTACTTTTGTAGAATATCCAAAGAATCGACAAAGAAAAACTCCTGGAACTAATAAGAAACTATAGTAATGTTGTACTAGATTAATATACAAGAGTCGATTACTTTCCTATGTACCAGCAATGAACAAGTGGAATTTAAAATTAAAAACACAATATCATTTACATTAGCACCCTCGAAAATGAAAAACTTAGGTATAAATCTAACAAATATGTACGAGTTACATATGAGGAAAACTAGAAAACTCTGATGAGAGAAATCAAAGAAAAACTAAATAAATTGAGAGATAATCCATGTTCATGAACAGGAAAACTAAATATTGTTAAGATATCAGTTCTTCCTAACGTGATTGATAGATTCATTGCAATCCCAATCAAAATCTCAGTAAGTTATCTTGTGGATATTGACAAACCGATTTTAAAGCTTCCATGGAGAGGCAAAAGATCTAGAATAGCAACACACTATTGAAAGAGAAGAACAAAGTCGGAGGACTAATGTCGCTCGACTTCGAGAATTACTGTAAAGCCCGAGTACTCAAGAGTGTGTGGTATTGGTGAAAGAACTGACAAATAGGCCCATGAAACAGAACAGAGATTCCAGGAATAGGCTCACATAAATATAATTGACTGACCTTCGACAAAGGAGCAACGTAATACAATAAAGATAGTGTTTCCAACAAATGATGCTGGAATAACTGTACGCCCACATGCCGAAAAATTAATCCAGACACAGGCTTCACACCCTTCACAAAAACTAACTCAAAATGAATATCATAGATCTAAATATAAAATACTACACTATAGCGATCTTAGAAGATAACATACAAAAAAACTCTAGATGACCGTGGCCATCAAAATGACTTACACACAGCACCGAAGGCACAATCCATGAAAGAAAGAATTGATATGCTGGATTTATTAAAATTTAAAATTTCTGCTCTATAAAGGACACTGTCAAAAGAATGAGAAGACAAGCCACAGACTAAGAGAAAATATTTGCAAAAGACATATCTGATAAAGAATTGTTATTCGAAATACACAAAAAAACTATTAAAACTCAAGAATAAGAAAATGAACAATCCGATTAAAATATGGGCAAAAGACCTGAACAAACACCTCACCAAAGAAGATACATATAGGGCAAATAAGCAAATGTCATAAGGGAAATGCAAATTAAAACAAGATCCCCCTACACATCTATTCGAATAGCCAAAACCCAAAACACCGGCAACACCAAATGCTGGCAAGGATGCAGAGAAACAGGAACTCATTCATTGCTGATGAGAATGCAAAATGGTGCATCCACTTTGGAAGAATTTTGGCAGTTTCTTACGAAAATAAACATACTCTTACATAAAATCTAGCCATTGCTCCTTGGTACTTACCCAACAGAACTGAAAACTTATGCTCACACAAAAACCTTCACATAGACATTTATTGCATCTTTATTCATAATTGCCAAAACTTGGAGGCAACCGAGATGTTCTTCAGTAGGCAAATGGATAAATTGTGGTGCATCAGAGAATGAAATATTACTCATCACTAAAAAGAAACGAGCTAACAAGCCATGAAAAGCCATGAAAAGAATCTTAAAGTGAAGTGAAAGAAATCAATCTGAAAAGGCTATATACTGTCTGATTCCAACCATCTGACATTCTGGAAAAGATAAAACCATGAAGACAGTAAAAAAGATCAGTGGTTTGGAGGATGGGAGGGATGGAAAGGCAGAGGACAAATGATTTTTAGGTCAGTGAAACTACTCTACTCTAAAATGATAGATATATGTCATTATAAATTTCTCAAAACCCATAGAATGAACCACACCAAGAGGAAACTCTACTGCAAACTATGGACTTTGAGTAATAAAAGTCTGTCAACACAGCTTCATTGACTATGACAAATGTCTCACTCTGCTGTGGGATGTTGATAGTGAGGGAGGCTGTATACGGAGGCAGGAAGTATATGGTAAAACTCTATTGTCTGCTTAATTTTGCTATGAACCCAAAACTACTCTTCAAAATATGTCTATGTAAAAGGGGGAAAAAAGAACAGTAGAGATAAGAAATCGCAAAGCAGCAGGACGGTTTGCTAAGCAGTTGTGGGTAACCAAGACACCCATAAAGGAAAAGGCCTGCTGATTAACTACTGATATTCGTTCTTTCTTTCTTCCTCTATAATATAACACTTGAGTTTAGCTGGATAAGTGGCACATCAACCACAGGTTACATTTACTAGCTTCCCTCACAGTCCATATGGCTACAGGACTAGGTTCTAGTGAACAGTGTGTGAACAGATATGATAAGCAACTTTCCGGTCGTGCTCTGAAGCAGCCACCTCACATCATTAAGTGAAACTCCATGTTGAGGATGGCAAGAAACACGGTAGAAGGAACCAGGGTCTTTGACACTCTCTAGACACGATGCTAGTCCTGGACCACAGTTATTTTGCAGGATGTGTTTCTGCAACCAAGCCCGTCTTCCAAGTAATACATCGTCTCATAGAGCTATTCTAAAGATTGAATGAGACAAGTACATTAAGTACCTAATACAGTGCCTGACATAGAGCAGGTTAGCTCCCTCTACGTGGGCCCTGGGAGTTCAGAGGCTCCAGCAGGGGAATGCAGCTACTGGACAGCTTTGGCCCAACAAGAGTCCTCACCTCCTTTAGATGGGCAGTCTCTGCAACCAAGCCTACAGCTTTGAGAGGGACATATGTAGAATGGGAGAAAGGTCAACCCTGGTGATGCCTATCCCAGTCAGTCTCAGTGATCCACAAGGAGGTAGATGCTGAGGGCAGAGTACTCTCAACTGTGCTTCCCAAAACCTACCTTTGCCATTGACCACAACTACACTCAGAAACCCCCCTGCCTTCGAGATAAGGTCCGGTCTCCTTGGCTGAATGTATAAGGCTTTTCACAACCATCCCCGCCTTCTGATCTAAGCTTAACACTTGCCACTCTCCCTCCACACTCTACGCTCGTCCTACGGAGCAGTTTGCAGTGCCCAGATCACGCTGTTTTCTCACACCCTGATGGCACTGCACGTGCTTGTCCGTTTGCCTGCAAACTCATCTCTGTCCACAGATCCTCTGCCTCCCTCTCTATGTGGCTGACTCCTGGTCTTCCTCAAGAGAAGGCTCACCATCACTCCAGGAGACTGTCCCTGATTATGGAAGTGATCACTCATGGTCCCTCCAAAACTTTTTTCCACAGCAGGGGAGGTTTTAAGTAGTATATGACCACCAAGATAAAAGCTATATTTCTCAGCCTCTAGGCTGTGGCCACAGAACTCGGTGCCGGCCAACTGGGTGTGGGAAGTGACAGGGTAACTAGCCAAGCTGCCCTTAAGGACAGGAGGGTTCCCAACCTCCTTCCTATGGGCAGGTACATGGACTTGGTGATGATCCCTCTTGAAAATACATACAAAAGCACTAAAGGCAGCAGAACAAGAAGATGAAAGGAGTCTGGGCCTCCAACACCACAAGCTGCCTCCACATGTCTGTGAGGAGTGATAGTGGGGGGGAGAGGGGGGAATTTAACCGGTTACTGCAAATTATGAATGCAAATCCCCTCCATGGCCTTCAACAGCCACTGAATCAAACCCTAATACAGAAGACTGGCCACAGGATCACCTAAAAGATCCCAGATTATGGTGGAAAACACCGCTGACTCAGACCATTGATTCAAACTGTCCAAGAGGAGAGGAAAGCAAAGAGGGGCCCACGTCACCCCAGGCCCATGAGACCACCTTCCTGAACCCTCCACCTCTAAGCACTCCCTCCCACCTTTCTTTCTGGATACAAGTGCAGAATAGCTGGAGCTTACCTCTGGAGACTTTGTAAACTTCGAAGAAAGAGTAGAAGTGGAAGCCTAGAGAAGCAAGCAGGTACAAAGACAGTTCCCATCGGGGCAGCATTGCTCCTTGTGACAAAAGGTCCCAATGCCCAACTTGAGAGTTTCTAGGAAGAGAAAGAGAAATAAAAACATCAAGCCAAGGATATGACAATAAAGAACAGCATCTTACCACCAGTCAGTTCACACGCTCTCCTAGGGACCCATCACTATTCCAGGCGATACAGATATAACCCAGTGAAACATCCTCCCGCCAGCCACACACACACACACACACACACACACACACACAAGCACGCACGCACGCACGCACACACGAACCTGCCTAGGGTAGGCAGGTCTTTCCCTCTGAGCAATTACAGCCCCCCCATCTGCCTCCCATCGCAGTGTACACCAGACAGTTCTGTCCTCATTGCCTGACACACCTGTCTGCCCCTGTGAAGTAAACCTCTAGGAAGCAGAGACCATGATTTCTGAGTCCCCAGCACCAAGCACAGGGCATGTGATGTAGCAAGAAGGAACTACAAGTTGCTCCACGAATAAAAAACTGGCTTCAAAAGCCTGAACAAAAGAAAAGCACAAATCATCTCCAACCTCTTCTGAGCCATCAGCCTTAACCTCCTCGTTCTCCCCCTCAAATGTCATCCCATAGCTGTTCATAAGAACGAGCTAATGAAAACTGCTCTGTCTTCCATCTTCTGTGCACTTCTGCAAAGCAAGCTCATGACACAACCCCAGGCAGTTGTGGCAGACACTGCTCGTTGTCCACCTTGCAATATTCAGTCTCTCTTCCTACACAGTAATTGAATTTTTACCTCATCACATGGATGCCGAGCTCATCTCCATAGTGTAGGCAAGTGTAGATGTTTGATTCTGTGAGGCTGTGGTCATCTTCCTCCTGGGCAGAGTTGGAATCTTGGACCAAGAGGCAACAGCCACGTGGGAAAACACAATAGAAGTGCCTCATCCCTGACTCCATGTACCACCCCTCCTCTAGATCTGCCCTCTACGACTATTACTTCTCGAGAAATGCACTTCTAGGTTGTCTCAGCCTCTGCTATTCTAGATCTCTCTGTCATGGCGGCCGTGTCTACGTTCTAAGTAAGAGAGCAGGTGATGGAAAGTTAGGTCCTGAAACTCTGAAAATAAAACGATCAGTTCCCAAATAACAAAAGCTAGGTAAATGTAGCCCTTTTACGGCCCTCATTGGTTTACTTCAACTTTTCAAATATGTCTCATTGTGGATGCCAAATTAAGAGCAAACTCTGAAGCCTCAAGCAAGCACTTCTAACATGTGACAGTAATGCCAAAAATCAGAATTCACACGTTATCTCATTTTATTTTCACGAAAGCCCAGTGAAGTAGGTAGAGCAAGGGAGGTCGGCATTTTATGAATGACCAATGTGAAACATGCGAGGTCAGAAATAACTGAGATAGGGAGCAAATCCAGGTCTTGGGACCCCTGGACACCCACCCCACCCCTCAGCCACAGCTGGTGCCGTCAATGCCAGTTCAAGGAGATGTTGGCCTAGAACCTGCCACTCAGAAACCCCTTTCTTCAGGCTGAGGCGAGACAGAACAGGGAAGGATATAAACTTCGGCTTTCATAAAATGTGAGGTCAGAAGTCAGTGGTCCTCCAACCACAGAGCCTCAAAAGTCAGTCCGGCCTGGGTTTCCCCTGCAACCTGAGACCCTAAAGCAGACACCCGGGCTTTTAATCACAAACGCTCTGATTCCTAGGACTTCGCCAGCTCCCTCTCAGGTTTCCCTGCCATTTTTCAGAACCAGTCTGAGCGTCATGCATTTCTAGTCGCTTTATTTTTAAATACCGGGCATCTCCTAGACTACCTTAAAATTTCTTTCTGGAACTTTGTAGAAATGTGGTGGTCTTCCCTTTAGTGGGAGATTCACTTTTACTCTCCGGGTTTCACGGTGTCTCTCCTTTGGAAAGAGGCGGCGATGACACTGGATTATACTGGATGTGACCTCCTCACTTAAGAATCTGTGATTAGCGAAGAGCTGAACCCCCTAAAAAATGCTACCGGAATTTGAACAGAATCTTGGAGACTAAAAGGAGCTTTCCAAGGACACTCTCTTCTAGGACAGCTCCTCTGCATCAATGATTTAACTGGCGGGGAACTAGACACTTAGTGGGAGGTGGACGTCCCGCTGGCCTCTTGGCCTCCCTCAGCAGGCGGGCCACCCAGCAAGCTCTCTAATGTCCCACTCTTCCTTCCCACACCCGACCCAAGGCCACCTGGACAACAAACAGACTGTCCTTGGAGGCCACCCAGAGAGCTCTCTGCCCCGAGTCTCTTCCTCACCGCCGCTTTCCTTATCCCAAAGGAGTTGTATACAATCCTCTCACTTTCCTCGGTTCATGGCTCACAGTTCCAGGACCGCGACCTCCAAACGACACCACCACCCAGACACTCACACCTTCCTCTTAACAGACCTCTTCCTCACAGCTCCCTTTTCAACTCTTGCCCACTTATCTCAAAAAATTCCTCCCCTTGCGTTTTTTTTTTCCTCTGTGCCTTTCAGCGGTGCACTCGGCAAATTAAAGTAGATATGTTTTTAAAGGATTTAATGACACAACAGTATCAAAGACAAGGAAAGTTGTACATTTGGGACTAGAACTAGAACTTTAAAAAAATGGTCGAACGCATAAAGGTTCCAAAACACTCTCAGAAAATTCTCAAGTTTCTCTTCCTCATTCTCTCAACGAGCATGCTCTTCTTGAGGCACAGGCAACTGATGAAATCAAAGACGCCCTTACTCAAAGGGGTAAGTAACGCTTTTGTTTTTCATGCGTAGATTCAGTCCTGCAGAAACATTATCGGCTAGGTGGGCATCTGTGACACAGCCTAGAAACTAAACACCGTTTCTAACATTATTTCTACAGGAAATAGCCAGTCTATAGCAACACGGCCCATTTTTAAGTAAGAGTCTACCTGGCCAATCTACATCAGTGAGGTCGTACCATTGATATGGGAGAGCTGAGGAGGGTCACTGGATGTCTGATGAGGGAGAGACCTGTCTGAGAACACCTCCACCTCAGTGGGAACACTGGTCAGGGCTGTGAAGAAGAAACCATGAGGATAGGTTAGGCGAAGGGACAATAGTAGCCGAGTGGCAGAGGGTCTTAAACAGAAATGATTACAAGTTGGGGTCTGATTTTCTGAAAAAGCCTCAGGCTTGTGGGCCAGGACATTTAACTGTTTGAGTGAGGCTTCGGGAAGGAGCCCTTTGACACTGTGGCAGAGTCTGGAGGCAGGGAGGTGGGTGAGTCAGGCCCTCAGCACGAAGTGGAGAGAAAGTGCTAGAACCATCTAGCTAGTAGAGGAGGCAACTGGATGACAAAAAACGGGGGACGGGGCGGGGGGAGGGAGGAACAAAGAATAAAAAACAGAAACTCCAAAGCTGTAAGACCACAGCTAAATATTGACAGGAGTGAGAAATTCAAAGCAAGTGAAGACAAAGGGAAAATGCATTTGATATTGGGTATTGGGAGGAAATCATAGCCGAGGTTCTCCTGGGATCGAGGTCAGCCTGGAGTCACAGGAAACTTTACCTCTGTACTGGGTATTAGAGCCTCAAAGCTGGGTATTTCAAAAAAGTATTCATCCAGGAACTACAGAACTCAGAATAAAATCTTGGACGTAGATGGCAAGAATCCCTCAGCTCACAGAGCTTTTTCTAAACTGAAGCGACTTCCATTTGCACGTACCTTGTGATTTTACACTCCGCCCACTTTCAAAGATGCCATCCACTCTCATCCTCACCGGGAGGGCTAAATGTTAGCTCTTTTTCAGGAATCAGAATCCTGCTCAGGGAAAAGGAGCAATCTACCCAAGCACACGAAAGAGCCAGCGATGGAGCAAAAACCAGAACCCAAGTTCCCAACTCCCACTCTCTTACGAGCAGAAACCCTGTTCCTTCATCTTGGCAGAAAAGTACAGCTCACTGTGCCAAAGGCTGACATCTGCATAAACGTAATGTCTGTAAGATGCTTTTCCCCCAGCAAACTCCATTATCATGTCAAAAGTTCTTCATCTTTATTTTCGATGCATGTAATGAATGGATCCCAATATCTCCATTTTAAACTGTTTCTGCTCCTCAATCTTAATATCTAGCACTAAATGGGCTATCGCCACATACTCACCCACACCAGGACCATAAAGCCGTGTTGTAAGCATTAAGCTAACGATCCCTCTGATGGCCCCATCGCCACCGCCACTTCCGCCAACAAACGTCGCTCAAGGTCCTAAACTGAAATGTTCCTCTGTTGGGTTTTCTCATAATTCAGTAACAGCTGTACTGTAATAAGTACTGTTTACAGATTATCTGTGCTGAGAAAGCACTTCACAAGTATTATCTCATTTAATCTTCATAACAACTCTGTGAAGTTGGTCATTTTGGTATTTTCATTTAACACAACAGAAAACCAAGGCCCAGAAAGGTTAAGATACCTGCCCCCAAATCACACAACTAGCAAGCAGCAGAGCTCAGATTCATACGCTCCGAGTCGAACTGCGGAGCCTTCCCTCTCCCTGTTCTTGCAGAGTGCACCCGATTTATTTATTTATTTTTCAACATCTAGGATGAAATCAATCCATCAGGAAAGCTAGAAAGTAACAGAAGCTACATAAATGCAAAAAAAATAATTTATATATTCCCTAAGAAGCAAAGAAAATTTGAAAATCAACTAGATGTAATCAAAATACATGTGAAACATCTAACTCATACATTCCTTAAGACATTTACTGAAAAAGACAAACTAAATCCAACCGATTTAGCTCAGATAGAAGAGGGGAAAGTCAGCAGTTACACAGAGATAAGAGCTGAGTAAAACTGAAATAATTCTAAATTTAGGGACAAATGAACACTCTGGAAACCACAAAGTAATAAAGGCAAAGGAGCACATGCCCGCTCGAACGACAGCAGCTTTGGAGAAAATCAAATAGCAAGGCAATATTCTAGCACATTTGCAAACACTGTATGAAACTTTTGCTCTTTTCCAGGGTCCAATTTAATGAAACCGAAACCTATTTCACAGAATATAAATTACATGACTTTTGACAGAAAACTCAAGTCTAGACTCAT